TAATATATACCTGACTGTATAAGAGTCTCTGCTGTGTGTATTATAATCTATTTATGTGTAGAAGTTCTTGAATAAGTAATACATACAGCAATAAGCATTAAATCTGAATGTATAAATTAGTGTCATTTTTAGATACATGTATGTGCTATCTAAGTACTGAGTATACATGTAGTATTACAAGGACAGAATCTTGATACATGACATTTAAGCTTTAAATAAACAGTGTTTGTTTGCAGTTGCCTACCAAACCCAATTAAAAAAAATTAACATCAAAAGATTTTTTTTTCAATTTGAAAATTTTGTTTACAATAATAAAGGCAAAACACATTAAATAAGAATGGGTTGTTTATAAGGAAAAAAATTCCGATAATTCACAATTCAAGTAAAATCTGAAAAAATCAAAGAAATAATGAATGGAGGAATAAAGATATTAATTGCCATTCTCTGTAACCACTTAAACTTCGTTGCCACGCATGGTCACCGATTTTAATGAAACTTCACCCATACTTAGTACTTGACACCAGAAACAAATATCAAACAAAATTTCGTTGCTAAGTGTCTCGGTTGCTATGGCAACAGCCGGAAAAGTTTGAAAAATCGAGATTTTCAGCCACTTTAAATCCTGACTGTGGCTTAATAAAAACTAGAAAAAGCAAACAAACCATTCTAACAAAAACATGACACCTTGATGTCACTTATACTGTAAAGAAACTGTTTAGAATATATCTTTAAGTAAGTGGTAACCAAGGGTACATTTGGAATACATTTAAAATGCTGAAATATGCTGAAAAACACTCCATATTCACTAATGGTAGGTGTTACGTGCTAAAACTCAATCATCGACTTAAGAAAAACAATGAAAATGTTTGACCTTAAGTATATAAGTATAAGCAATATTATTCTATAAATAAATTTGATGGTTGCCATGGTAACACAGTGTAACTATGCAAAACCAGTAACTAAGTTTGGGTTAATGCTACTGTCTTGAGGAAAAACATGAAAATTCAAGACTGGCAAATATGCATCCTTAGGACCTTGCAACACCAAAACCATAAGAAAAATTGGGTAAAATTGCTACTTTGCAGTGTTACCATGTAAACAAAGTACCAGTGCTTAAAAGTGAATTATTTTTCACTGCATTAAGAATTAAATTGCAATATAATCAAGAAACAAATTAAAGGACTCAGCTTGAATAGTACTTATCTGTTAGAACTGAAGTTGAATATCATATATTGATAAAAGTTGATGAAGAAAACAACACTGTTGCTATGGTAACCAAGAAGGGAAAATGTTCGATTTTGTGAACTTTATATCAATATTAAACCCTGTGTGCCAACTTCTTGCATCCACTTAGAGATTGGATGATAGTCAAAATTAAAAGTCAAGCTAGCTTTTAATAAATATCATTCATAAAAGGTTTGGGAATCTACATTTAAGGGTACGTATCCAAGGAAAGAAAATATTTTTAAGGTTTTTAAGCATATATTTTTCTGCTTATCTCCATAGCAACGCTCTATTTAAAGAATCTAATCTGAATTTTTTCAAATGGGAAAACTAGGAGCACACCAACATCTTTAAAAATTGATCATTAGTTATGAGAAAATGTGCTTTTTTAAAAGATAGGATCAGATTCAAACAAACAGAGTGTTACTTTGAAGGCTCTCTGTGGTGTAAAAACCTTGGCAACCATTGCCAACCAAAATGAAATATCATATTTTGTTCTTGGTATATGTTTCAAGGCTCTTTTTTCTATTATTTGGTCACATTTCATCCTATAATTGCTTTTTATTTTTAATATATGACTTTATATAATTCAATGAATACTTTTTTTTACTTTTGAATACTTTGTTACCATAGTAACATATGTAATAGTTGAATTACCAAACATGTTTATCATGCATTTGAGACATCTGACCTTCAACTTTTGGAAACAGTCATTGCCAATTGTTTGCTTTGCCGCAAATGTTAACTATGGGACTCTAAACATGTTAAAAAATGCCATTTTTCGAACTTTAAGACATGTTACCATAGTAACTATAAAACATAGCAACCAATTTTTGCCTGATTTCAGTTTAGGGTATCAATGACTTTTATCATAGAGAGTTTGGAGAAATTCTGAGACTATGCGTGCCACAGCTCCTATATAAAATTTCAAATCATTACAGAGAATGGCTCTTAACTTATTCTAAAAATTGTGGGTTGGCAAATGCAAATGAAGTTATTGATAAGCAATTTTAAAAACTCTTCAAAAACAAGACAAATGAAACAGAGAGAAGTGACAATTTTCAAAATGCTAATGTAAAATTTAAGTATAAATCTTCTAAGAATTCCACAGTTTATACATTTAGAGTTAACATTTTAGTAGTTACATGGCAGTGTACAAATGTAATATTTCTCTAACAATTTTCATTTACGATTATGAACACAGATTGAAGGTGGTTAATTGATAAATAGTAGTCAATAAAATTTATTTTCTGCAGAAAGCTATTGATTAAAAAAAACAACAACATGTAACTCAACTTAAAAAACACCTAAACACTCTTGAAATTTTTATGGTATATTTATACATGTCAGAAAATGAATTATAACGGTTTCTGTTACCATACACCTGTAGCAATAAATTACATGTACTCCTTCATAAGTACTATCACCAAAACATAACGAAAAATAATATAAAGTAAACAAGAATATAAATGAAATTTTAAATAAAACAAACTACCCTTCAAGAATTTATAATTGAATGATTATATACAAATGCATGAATTGTTCAGATTCTGAGATTTTTCTTTTCCCTTTCAAATATATATACAGAAATATATAAACAAGGTATAAGTTAATCTTCCAAACTAGAAGATATTACCCATTAACAACAAATTAAAAAATTAAATAAAATTAGAAATGAGGTCCACATAATTACTAGTTGCAATTATGTAGCCCTCTCCGATTTTTTTTATCTGATATTTTCTGGAGAGGCCAAAAAAAGGGGGGGGGGGGGGGGGGGGAGAGGGCTACATTATTGCAGCTACATAATTACATGTACCAGGTATTTATCATCAAATTTTATTCATTTTAGATCTCAATGAAACAGAAATTATATCTTTTTCTGCATTATATATAAGTTATACTGATGTATATAATTGAAAAAAAAAATTGAGCAATTAAAAATATGATATAAGCAAATAAATAAATAAAGCAATATATACAACCTTCATGAGTGAATTAGAGAAGTACACATAGCAATTTATATCGTTTGTTGTAAACTGAAGTGTGCCTTCCACAAGAAATGCCCTAATGTGAACATGTAATCATTTCAATTACACAATCCAGCAAAAAAATAATTGAACAATTTAATAATGAACACAGATTTTGGTGGTAAATTGATACATAAAGCATTAAAATTAAACTTCTGCAAAAAAAATTAAATGAGAAACTTGCATGTAACTATGGTTAAGTACTTATAAATTTCTTGGAATTAAAATAGAGATTAAATTTTTTTTTCAATTAAATATACAAGTTACAAGTGTGACTGAAATGCTAGTAAATTCACCACAATTCATAATTCAGTTACTCGTTATTAGATATATAAATGACTATTTTTTACGCTTGAAAAAACATGTTACATTTGAAAAAAAAACATGAAAATTTATGGAAATAAGTACCCAAAAAAGAAAGTGGTCCAACTCCCCCCGTCCCCAAAAATATTTGAACACATCAATCATATATATTTCTCTGCAAACAACAATAGATAAATCTACATCATAACCAACAACAAGAGGCCCACGGGCCTTATAGGTCACCTGAGTATTGTGTAACAACTTTCAAACAATTAAATTTGGTTCGTGTTTCAAACCAGAGGCCATGAAATTCACAATTTTGAATGAGGCACCATTTGCTCATCATAATTATTAACTTAGTATGCTTACTCTTTTTACTTAATACCCAGAGGTAGAGCAGAGTAACAAAGAGAAAATGCACTTCCACTTTAAACCCAGTTGTGCACCTCACTCCAAAGGAACCACTGACCTCATATTTCAATTTTTTTTTCAAATTTTATCATTTTGATTAATATCAAAGAGCAGATTTCAAAGCATTAATTTATTTTCAGACCATGTAACTCCCCCCCCCCCCCTGATGTAGGGGGCATAAAAACCACTTTGCTAGATGGACCTTTCTTCATCATCAATATATATACTTGAATCATTGGCATAAAACCCAGAAGCAAAGGAAAATATTTTCAAAGAATTTATGTATTTTTACTATGTAATCAATACAGCCCCGCCCTTACACAAGAACTCCTAACCCTGGGGCCATAAAATTCCCAACTTTGGAAGAGGCACTCTTGCTCATCATAACTATGTACTTAGTTAGGTTATTTAATACCCAGAAGCAGATGAGAAGATTTTTAAAGAAATAATGCATTTTCACTATATAATCAATAAAGCCCCGCCCTAACACCAGAACCCCTGACCCTGGGGCCATAAAATTCAAAATTTTGATAGAAGCATTCTTGCTCATCATAACTATGTCCTTAATTAGTTTATTTAATACTCAGAAGCAGAGAAGAAGATTTTTAAAGAATAAATGCATTTTCACTATATAATCAATAGAGCCCCGTCCTAACACCAGAACCCCTGACCCTGGGGCCATGAATTTCACAATTTTTGTAGAGGACTCAATGCTGATTACAATCATACCAACAGTTTGACTGCTTGATGTTCAGAAGAAGAAGAAGATTTTTAAAAATTGCACTAATTTTAGTGGTTTTTGCCCCACCCCCAGGCCCCAGGGGGGCAGGGACCATGAAATTCACAATTTTTGTTCCCCTTCACCCATAGATGCTATATGCCAAAATTGGTTGAAATTGGTTCAGCGGTTTCAGAGAAGAAGCTGAAAATGTTTAAATGTTAACGCACGATGGACGACGGACGACAGACGACGGACGACGACGGACAAAAACAGATAGCAATAGGTCACCTGAGTTTACTCAGGTGACCTAAAAATCATATTGGGAAGCTGTCTGGCAGAATGACCACTGTTAATCCATGCTTTTTTATGTCATTTTCGTAGCCAAGCGAAACTCCCATGTCGATACACGGACTATAAGTTGACACCAGATTTACTGTATCATTCATAATTTTCACCTCTGCAAAGCCATTTCGTTCTCTTTTGGTCAAGCGGATCACCCTCAGCTTGAAGGGAACCAGATTCCCTAGGGCACTGACAGGGGAGGGAAGCAGATCTAGCTCGTTCGGTTTTCTGTTTTGGTATTTCCATTTCAGAATGGCTCCATATTTTGCCGACATGTGGGAAGGTGTTTGGAAATAATGCTCCCAGAAGGTAGTGGTGTTGAAAGTGGTACCACAACGTTCGGTGTAAATTCGTGGGACGTAATTCTTGAACTTCTTGTCTTCAGGTGGAATCGGGACTCCCAGGCCAAAAGAGTGGTACTTGTAGCTCATGTAGAACTTAGGAAGCAGTAGCATGACAAAATCCTGTAGCTCTTTCATCTTTTCGATCTTATCGATATCGTCGGGAGAAAGCATTGGAGCGCGGACACTGCCAAACAATTTGACGATATCATCTCGCAGAGTTTCCTGCACTGGTCGATCATAGGCCTTCATCCACCTTATAATCGCCTGGATGATGTCCATTTCCGACTTGCAAACTATGGCGCCAGAATCCAACACTAAACTCAGCTCACTGGTTTCCAATTCCACCAGTTTTCCACTGTTGTTGAAATGCTCGAAATTGTGGCTTATGTAAGTAATGCACTTATCATACAAGGCATTGACATCGTATTTCAAAGAAAATCTAAACCATGGTATGGCATTTTCACTACAAACTTCCTCAATCATGAAATCAATGCAGAGAGAGGCTAGATCTTTCACCAGATACTTATCAGCCAATAGCCCGAGTGGAATGACATTTTCCTCGTTCAGCTTTACCTTCCATGTGTAGAGAAACTCCAGGAATTCTGGGAAAACTTCCTCACAGTCACCCGTTTCCTCTAAATGAAGGTCAGAAGTAGAACACCAGACCTGAAAAAGATATCAAACTTATTCAATGGAAATCTGATTTTACGGGTGTTTTCCATATGCAACCAAATATCAACATAGCATGTTCTGTATCATCATATCATTTATATCATCACTCTTCTGCATATTATTGCACATATTCGGAGGAAGTATTACAATGTACTCGGAAAATTTATGATTAAGTAAAAAAAAAAGAAATTTAAATTACAGTCTTCTTGAAACATTGGACTGTTGAACATCATCATAACCAATGTACAGTGCCTCTGCATGGTCCAATACATCATTTTTCAACCTGGACAAGAATGCCCCAAGTCTCAAAGTCTGGTTTTGACTTTTACTTTGATATAGAAACATAAAATCATTAATTTTAGAAAATAATAGCTACAAATCCAAGAACTTAGAGAGTCAGGGGCATAATATGCAAACAGGTTATTGGAAAAATAACTTGTAAAGCTTATTTTACAAACACATTTTTGAATGAAGGACAGTAGCAAAGAGAGGTTACTCATGGTGACAAAGAAAATAACTCATTTGAAAATAGTATTGTTGATAATAACCTGTTTGCCTAATGCCCCTGACTGTTAAATAAGCGTGATTAATTAAGCATGGACCATAATATTTCCTATGTTCTGTATTTTCACTTGTTTCATTAACATCATTTTGCATCAGATTCCATAGAAAATATACTGTCTCTAGCCCAATTAGCCCCTTCACGGTAACTGCGGTACTACTTTTTTGCAGGGCTAAATAATAAAGTTTGGTGAAGTTTTTGTTGAGAGATAATTAAATGACGTATATTTAACAATTACTTATACGTCGTATTTCACCAAACTATATCATTTTGCCCTGCAAAAGAGCAGTACCGCAGTTACCGTGAAACGGTCTATACTTTTATCCCCTGCCCATACCTGATTTTGTTTGTGAAAAATTATTTTCAAACTAATTCTTGACTGGGGGTTGTAATATACAGCATTCCTGACTCTCTGCGTACATAATGCATGCAAGGCCTAGAAAAAGAAATATGTTTCCACTTTCAAGCTCAGGGGTACATATAGATTACATATGCATTTTTTTTTTTCAAATTTTGTGAATCTCTTCAAACAAAATGTCAATGACAAAATTTTATGAGTATTCATGACAAAAGGACTGGTGCTTTATAGAATTTCCGTGTCAGACTTGAATATACATGTAATTAACATTCCAAATGTTTTTACTTTGATGAAAATATAAAGAAAAGAAAATTTAGATCCTCACTGAAAAAATTTAAAGAAAATAGAAATAAAAGTCTGTGTTATATCTTAGGGTAACAGGTTAGTGTGTTAAGCAGAAACATATTTTTCTTTCCAAGACTCAAGGTTTGTTACCAGATTTGTGGGAATTAAGAGACAAGTTCAAGACTGATGGAAAAAAGGAAATTGTTAACCACCATATTAACACTCAAGACTTACAGATGAAAGCATGGTTTGAAAGACTTCACTAGCACTTGCCAGAACAATGCGATGACCGAAATAGATCGTGTCCCCAACTGTGATTCTAACGTCGCTGAATTCTTCATTACAACAGAAAACCCCGTAATCTGGTGGTTGTGCCCCGTTCATTGGTTTTCCAAACTTTTGCATCAGGCGTTGTCCATATTTCAGAGAGGAAGATGAACCTTCCATGTCAAAACTCTGTTTCAATATAAAAATGTGTGTTTAGAAAATCATTTGACTCTATAAATGATGAACACAACTAGAATAATTTCTTTTCGTCAATACACTAGTTTTATATACCAGGTCCAGTACATAACAATCTCTTGATCTCTTTACTATTAATAATAGCTTTATTTAGCCATTTATATGCAGTTCTTCACAAAATGTACGTTTAAAAGTTTTTTGTTAGAAACCAAAAGACGCAAGTATTTGACTCTTCATATATGTTCTACTATGGTCTATCAAAACAACAACCAACTTCAAAGATAGTTCTAACATTGCAGCTTTTGAATACTTTAAGAACCCTCTCTACACTGTATACTAAAGAGTTCTGATTCTATGCTATTTTTCTGCAGTTAGAGTGAAAAAAATTACTCAATTTGTTATCAATTCCATTATTCTTAGAATTTTAAAAGATCAAAATAAATTAATTGAACATATGTTTTTACATGTATATATCTATGGAAGTAAATTACACTAAACAGTGATTTCTATTCACTGCTAGCTACCATGCTGTGTTTAAACATATTTCTTTGGGGTAAAAGCCACCTACCAAATAGTTAAAATTAAATAGCTTAGCTCAATATTAACACCTTCACACAATATATTTTTCTAAATGTCGAAAAAACACTTTGCAATGGTGTAGAGATCAGGGTCCTTAAGCAAAAAAAGAATTTCTATTGTTAGAGTAACTGTCCACTACCCGGTGTGCGTTGAGGCATAGATAAGTATGATTGCTTCTCATTGTACCGAATTGTTATCAATCATCTTGTTGAATATAACTGGTCTCATTTAATTGAAGTAACTATCAATATTGCTATCTTGAAAAACACGTTTAGTACCAAAAATCATCGACATTACTAACCAAAATGATTCCGTTACTTAACAGATTTTTTTTTCAAATTATGTATGTATATTAATCAATGTAAAATATGGCCACAATCCGTGTTGGTTATGAAAAATGCCAACAGTTTATAAAACGTTGTGAACATTGGTCTGAGGTCATCCCCGCTCAACCGATCTCTCCCTACCCGAATGTTAACTTTACTCGAGGAAAGGTTTTTTTTTAATTTTTTAAAAACTTAGAGTGTGACTCAAATAACCTGTGTGTCCATTAAATATTTGATTTTTCTTCCCTCCTTGTTTAAAAATACAATATCCCGCCTGTTGTGTTTTTGAACTTTAGATTAGATAAGTCGTTCAGCAAATATGTTGAGTTTGTGAGTTTGACATTTCAAATATGGTGAATAAAAATTTACATGAAAGAGAAAATGATATAAAAAACACACATTTTATATATCTGAACATAAGTTGAAAGAATTTAGAATGGAAAATAAACAAACGAGTATTATGCAAAATATTTATTCCGGAATTAAACATGTCGGTTTTCACTTTTAGGAACAGATCGACTTGACTTGATCAATAAAACGTTTTCAAATTCCGCGTTAGGTTGCTGAGCAAACTGTAAACATCAAGGTATGGAACTTCTCTTCTTAAGTAATGCAAATTACAGTCGGAAAACACTAGAGTAGGTTTGTTCTTGTAATAAGAACTGTTATTTTAATAAAATGGCCAGATAATTACTTAGTTTTTTTTTTCATTTACGGTAATTTAACATGGTTCTGGAAAGATCTTGTGATGATTATGCAGGTGAGAAGTACCAACCTTTTGTTTAACATCTAGGCCAATATTTAGTTTTAAATTATCAATATTTTGTAACTGTTTAAATGATAGTGAGTTCTTACTTTTGTCTACAGCCAGTATAGGCATTTGTTTCATAATATGAAAAGAACATATTTTTTTCTTGTTTCTTGAAGTACACATTACAAACGATGTAATTATATTGGTCTTTTTAGATTGAAATGGATTTTATGGTTCATGGTTCGCCAACACCAAGAAATCATGAGCGAGCTATTCCAGGAAGTGCACGGAATCGACCTGGGAGTGGAAGGCCGCCCAGTGCAAAGCCAACAGTAAACAGAAATCCCATCACTGTAAGGGTTACATTAATGGTCAGGATTGTTCCTATGACCCTGGTGACCGGGAATTTCCCCACTGTTAATGATGTAATCCCCCTCCCCCCATATTTTGAAATTGGATCCTCTTAAGTTTTGAATTAGGATAGGACCCCAGATCTCCTACTTCTTCTTTCTTAAGTTCTGAATTAGGATAGGACCCAAGATCTCCTACTTCTTCTTTCCAAATGTTCCCTGAGACCTCGTGTTTTATTTCTTATGGACAACCTTGAAGAGTTTTCTTTCAATTTTCACTTCTACAAAGGTTTAGACTCTACTTTTATATGGAAAGGATAAATCTGGGATCAACATGTGTACATGTTTATGTACTTTTGTCAACCTGATAAAATGTACAGCTTAATTTAAAGGGCTGTATCTGACAAAAGATAAATTCAGTTAATGATTTGTTTATGTTCAAAAGTTTCCACCTTGTCAAATAATAATAGACGTACAAAAATTTGAAAAAGATACATGAATAGAGGTGATTAAAGGTTGTTTGCTCCAACCGAGGAGGTACTGTTAAAGAATGTGAAAGATATCAATAAAATTAACTACATTGTAATGGCTAGATGGTAAATCTTTCTTTATATGTGGCAATTAATACTTACAAAAAAATGTAACTATCCATAATTTACCAGACATTGCAAAACCAAGTATTTTTCAAAGTCTTATTTTAAATTATTGTTATTTTTTTCAGGGAGAGGAGAAACCTATAAGTAAACCAGAAGATAAACCCCCCAGTAGACCAGACAGCAGGCCAGCAGGGTAGGGATCTCTAGATAAATGAAGAATTTTACATATTCTTTAAGGTTCATAAACCCTCTGCTAACTCATGAAAATTGTTGCTTTTAGCTTCTATGATATTCCAAAAGAAATTTATAAGTTAAATACAAACAACTATACATGTAGTATAGCTTGCAAAACAAAATTTGATAAAACTGATATCATAACTTGACAAATTTATAAATTAAGGAATATTAGACATTTATGTCATTAAGAGTTATCTCTCTAAGTCTTATCAGAGTATTAATGAATCTTAATTTAATTTTGTGAGGATTTCATGGTAGAACTCAACTTGAAAATACCGTATATACTCGCCTATAAGTCGGTATTTTGGGAATCGAATATTGGTCTAAAACTCTATGTCCGACTTATAGGCGAGTCATAAAGAGATTGGTATTTTTCTGGAAGCTGAAATGTACTAAAACATTTTATTTGCATTTCCGACGATTAATTATGGAAGAAAATGTCTGGATATAGATATATGATTATTTATTTATTCTTAGATTATAAATGTACATATAAAGTACAGGTATTTACATATTTTACAAATTTTGCTTGTATTTTAAGTGAGCATAGCTTTTTTGTTTCATAATTTAAGATTAAATATCAGTGCCATTTCGGAAATATTAATTGAAACCAGGTTAAAACATCAATTGATTTACTTGAAATTGTCACCCGATTTGGGCAAATAATTGTACCGACTTATAAGCGGGTCAATAGCTTATCCCATCAAAATAACGTCAAAAATACAACCGACTTATAGGCGGACCAACTTATAGGCGAGTATATACGGTAGTATAGTGACTTTATATTTTTAGCTCAACACGATAATGTCAAGATAAGCTTGAGCTTTACCCCTGGCAATCATGTTGGTATTGGCATTTTTAGGAGCATGTCAATGCCCTGATGTACATGATTTGGCAAATAAAGTTCATTTTTGGAATACTTATTACTCAAGAGATCAGGGAATTGCAAAAAATGCAGGAAGTCCAAATGACACAGGACTTTTGAAGTTAGATTATGTTGATACAATATCAAAATGGCTCTCACGTTACAATTTCTAAAACACGAAATATTCAAGTCTATAAATTTAATGTTCTTACCATTGAGTTCATTTTGAAGATTAGGGCCTAAACAATCCAGTTATGTTTGTGTCTCATTCCCTGCTTGGTTTTTACCATTAGTTTCCAAACTTTCAGCACAAGATCTCAAAACTAATTCTCTTTTATCTTGTTTATAAAAACTAATTATAAGTATACCCAATTAGACTTATTAATGGAAATAATCCTTTCTAAAAATACATTGTTTATCCTAAGATTTTATATGTCACACAGCTGACCCCTTAATTGACTGACAAAAGTGTCATTCTTTGATTTCACAGCCAGGAAGTCAAAGGGGCCATACATGTTTTTAGTTATCTTAACACCTATGAATGTCCAGTGCAGTGCCATGAGTATGATCTTAAAATTTAGGATTAACAATTATTGTAAAATTCACAAATTTTGGGGATTAAGGAGTACACAGCTTGGATATGCTTTACAATTAATCAATCGAGAATGTTTTGACATTTTTGAGGTGGGCTCCACAATCTTTCATTATCATAACTTTGTTTTTATTGTAAGTTTTGAAATTTCTTGTACATAGAGAAAAAAGAGTATGTTACTATGTACATGTTTTAAGGAAATGATATCAATATGGAGAAATAACATTGATATTCTTTTAAAGACGAAAATGGCATTATTATTGATAGCAAACATGCTTATAATGAATTTCTTCTTATAGCAAAGTGATTTTCATTCTCTGTGGCTTTTAAACTCACTTTGAACCTAATATATAACAAATGAAATTTTTGACGAAACAAAATCTTCCATCATTGGCACTTCATTATGTACATTAATTTTATTTAATGTGTTTTACTGTATTGATAAATGTGAAATATTTTTTTTTCATGTTGACAGGGTACCTGCTTTGAATTTGAAGGCTTTCCAGCATGAAGAGTATACAGTGTCCAAACCAGTAGAAATGATAGACTATCCAGACACAGGGAGGTCTGGGGTGTCTACTATAAGGTGTGAGATTCACCAAGTGAATTATATTCCTCAATCAGTTCTAATGCATATCAATAAAAAACATTCAGAGGTTTGTTGAATTGAGAGATGAATTATGATAAAATGACAAAGTTTCTAAACTTGTAATACTATTAGTCACTTTTTATTCACGAGAACTATATTTTCGCCTAATTACATGAGACAGTGTGTTTATGAAAATTTCATTCTTTGGTATACATTAAGTATTTCTTAAGATTATATTGAGCAGTAACCAGAATTTGTGAAAAATTGTTTTGCTTATAAAGAGTTAAGGAATATCTCGTGAAAATGATATTAAGGTGTTGCGAAAATATAATGATCTACAGGTCTGACTGTCAAAGACATTATCTTAATGCACGTTCACTTGATGTCGACAGATTTTGAAAGGGGGGATATGTGTATAATTATCAATAAACAGAACTTTAGGACAGAAACTGAAAATACTTCTGAAGAATTAAAATTTAAATGATTTCATTTTGCTTACATCCCTGGATTGTTGATATGCAAAAATTAGTGTTTTATTTGTGGAAAATGAAATAACACTTCTAATATGTTTACAGTTGGGGTACCCCTTGTTCAACAGCCAGAAATAACATGGACAGACCTTCCAGCAGAACAGCACATAAGGTACAGTCTAACTTTGTTATTTAGCAATGAAGTAGGTTATAAACTAGACACAAATTCAAATGTTCAAAGATTTGAGGGAGTGAGATAAAGAAAAGAGGGATTGGGACTTGCTAGTTGCTTGGATGTATCCATGATGATGAAAAGATATTTTTTTAATTTACATATAATTTATAGAGAAATGAATGTTGCTTCTCATATAGAGACTCCGAACAATAAGTGTTAAAAGATGAGGCAAAGCAAGCAAAGCCTGTTGTTTTGCCAAAAAGCCACACAGAATTTAATATGTCAAGTTAATCATTCTTTCACTTGCGTTTTTCATCCACAGAGCAGCAAGAGTGTACGACCTGACAGTGTTCCTGGTTTGTACTTTGGATACACTGACGACAACAAACAGAAAGCAAAAGTACACAAGGAAAAACAGGTATTGTAGGTCAAGAGATTTTAGCCAGCAGATGGTCTCGTGTAATTATGTGTACGTAAATTTTTGCAAATGAAAAGAGATTTACAGTATTTTACTGCATGTTTCTTGTATTATACTGTAAACATATTGCATTTGGCTGTGTATTCTTTTTAGCGCCTTTCGCGGAAAGCAGCCTCCGCTAAATGAAGTATATCGCTAAATTCTTTGTGTATAAAGGTTTATGTAATGCACATTCAAAAAGCGCTAAATCAAATCTACGCCAACTTGTTGAAAATTCAATTTTCGCCAAATATAATACGTTAAACTTT